AAGAACTTATAGCATTTATTTCAAAGACACCGAAACTCATTATTAATACTAATAAATTTTATTGAAATCATACACATATTTTATTTAGGGAAATTTAGATAAATAAGGTCTCAGGAGCTATTTAGGATGCATTCATCCTAAAGGAGGGTTTACAAAAGTTTGAACAACTTACCTACTTATAATATCCTCACATTAGTAGTAAGATGATCTGAATCTACCACGACTTTGTAAATTATATACCAAATCATTACTAACTGGGGAAACATTTGTTTACAAAATTACATTTTAATTTGTTTATTCCTCATATAGATCTTGGTATGAATTATATATATATATATATCAAACAAATTATTGAACTTGAAAAAAAATAGTTTAATTATGTAATAATTCTCTAATTCATGCAACTGATCGACCATGAAATTAAATAAATAAATAAATAAAGTGTACCTGTTGAATCTTGTCGACTTTTTGCAACCAAGCAGTGACTTGATGAGACCTTTCCATATCTCTGGTATGTTCTTCTCCTTCAACCAGATCTTCCAAATCTTTCTTCATGACTTCAAGCTTGTTCGATTTCTCTCCCAAAGATTGCAGATTCTCTTCCAAGTCATAAACATAAGAAGCTTGGTTCTTGAGGCAGCCACACAAGCACTTGGTCACATCCCATATTATGGAAGATGGATCCATAATATTATGTTAATGGATCTGATCGGAACTTGAGCAAAAGATTGAAACTCACTTCTTCTTCCTTCTCTACAAATATGATTCCAGAAATTTTGAGACCTAGAAAGCTTGCGACAGTCTTAGAGAGAAGCGTTCCAGATCTATACATGAAGCTCATTCCTTTGCACAATCGCACAACGGTATAAGACAAGTGGAAGAAATAAAATATGTGGGGGCAAGATGGTATTTTCGTCATATAGTGGAAATTGGAGTGCCGCTTTCCTATCGTCGAGGTGGACTTGTCTTTTCTTCTGGAACCGAGTAGTCTTTAAACATTATTAGGATGTATATTCTGATCAATAATTCAATGAGATAATTATTTTTTAATCTTCCCTTTTGTCACAATTATTTTTTTAATTTTTCCAATGCATATAGCACATGCTCTCCCACTACCCTGTTTATGTCCTTTACCGTTTATTCTCTCTCAACGCTTAATTGGATCATGTTTAGTTTATAAGAGAGACTAAGACTTAATGATAAACAAGGTTTTATTCTAGCTCTCATATGTGATGGTGGTGGTGTTTTTAATCACTCTAATAATTGAAGGGCCATATGGCTAGTTATATATGTACGAAGTTTTAAGTTTGAATTTATGTAAATATAAAAAATACTATCAATAGAGTTATCCTCAATTGAGTTTGATAATACTTATCTACAAGAAGAATATATAAATGAAAAGAAATGAAAAAAAACAAAGAAACAAAATAAAGAGATGAAGATGGATGCATTAAATTTCCCATTAATTTACTCTATTTTTTTTTTGGTAATCACTCTCTAGTCTTTATTATAAGTGATTTCTAGCCACTTCACCATAACAAAGAATACATATACATATACATATATATATATATATATAAAATTTTACCTTTATGTAGAGAAACGCTATATCATACTTTAAGTTAAGCCTTCTAGCAAATTGTAATTGGGTGACATTTGAGAAAATTAATTAATAAATCAGTGACTTATTTATAAGATTATCAATTAAGAAAACATAGTTATCGGTCTCTATAGTTTTATTATGTTTTGCTTTTAGTTCATGTATTTTTTTAGTGTTTTAAATCCCTATAATTTCAGTAAAATAATTAGGTGACTTTTATTCTTTAAGTCTCTATTGTATCATTTTTTTTAATATAAGGACTGAAAATATTAAAAATTATAAAGATTAAAAAATAAAATCTAATAAAATTATAAAGAAGATGATTGTATTTTCCTACATGTATATAAGACACCGCGGGTATTATGTTTTTATTCCTCACAAAACATGAGGCACACCAAAATTGACCCCCAAAAATGACCGACAAGAAAATCCACCAAATCATAAAATATTATTTTTTATAAAAAACAAAAAATCATTATCATTTTTAACTATTGATGATAATAATTTAATCGGTATTAATAACTTGTAAATATTAGTAATATATTATTGTAAAGACTAAGTGAAAATGTAAACATAGTATTGTTATAAAAAAATTATAAACACAATATTACAAATCAAATCAGTCATTAAAAATAGCTAAGACACTCGTAAAAAAGTTAATAGCTGGACTCTAATGAAATTGATGCACACAAAAATGTAAATGACAAGTGTAGAAGCAAAAAAGTGTACAAAAGTAAATTATCCCTTAAATTATAGGTTCAAAAACGTCTAGAATCCTGAACTCATTTTTAGTATCATATTCCCCTTCAAATTTTTAAAATGATTCAATTCGACTTCTATTATTAACAAAAGTTAATTTCGATTGTTAGCTGATTAAAAAATGACATAAAAGGCCCTTACAAAAAGGACCCAAAAATTACAAACAATGAGCTAAAAAATTACAAAAAAAAACTTGGTCTTTTTTTTAACTGTTCAGGTCCTTTTCTAGTAAACTAATTAATTATTAAAGTTAATTTTTGTTAACAGTAGGGGCTAGATTATATCATTTAAATTTGTCATGGCCAAAAGTTTTTCATTACTAAAAGTTTATTCTTAGTGATGACAAATATTGTTGTCAAAAGTTTTTTGCCACCAAAATTTTATTTTTAGCATTTTTTGCAAAAAATAAAATAGTCATCCTATGCCATGTCACTCACCACATGTGTGCCTTCTCATGTCATGTCACCAATATCTCAACCCCATGTCACCTCACCACATGTGCATCTACTCAAACCACGTGCATTTGCCCCTTTCAAGCCTTAAGTACTCATTCTTTACCAATTAAATTGAAATATATCTGCAATTATTATATGCAAAATTAAAAATATTATTTAACTATAAATACATATTTCAAATATTGTATTATTTAAAAGATATACATATATTATATTTTATTTTTAATTATTAATATGGTAAAATAATCTATATGACTATATATTATTTAATAAAATATTATTTTTAACAAATAATATCATTTACATCCAAATTCTTTTGGAGAGAAGCCTTCCAAATCTATACTAGAGGCTCATTCCTTTGCAAAATCGTACTAGGCAAGTGGAAGAAATAAAATATGTAGGGGCAAGATGGTATTTTCGTCATATGGTAGAAATTGGGAATGCTACTTTTCCTATTGTCAAGGTGGACTTAGTCTTTTCATCCAGCACCGAGTAGCCTTTAAAAATCAATAGGATGTATGCTCTGATTAATAATTCAATGAGATAATTATTTTTTAATCTTCCCTTTCGTCACAATTTATTTTTTTTAATTTTTCCAATGCATATAGCACATGCTCTCTCATTACCCTATTTATGTTCTTTATAGTATATCCTCTCTCCATGCTTAATTGGATCATGTTTGGTTTATAAGAAAGTCAAAGACTTCACGATAAACAAGGTTTTATTCTAGCTCTTATATGGTGGTGGTGTTGTTTTTAATCTCTCTAGTTGAAGGGCGATACAGCTGCTTACGCACGAAGTTTGGAGCAGGTTTGAATACATGTAAATGTCGAAGACACTATTAATAGAGTTATCCTTATCTAGAAGAAAAATATATACTCCTTTAGATTATAATATAAGTCATAATTAATTAATTCATGGTTTACGAATAATTTTAGTTAAAACTTTAAATTTTTGAAAAAGTTTACATATTTTTATGTATATCCTCATTAAATATCATATATATGAGTTTGGATAATAATAATTAAAATTTTAATTCATTATTTTTTTTCAAAAAGGATAATAAATGAAGTAGGAGTATAATTAAAAAAATAAATGTAAAAGTTATCTAATGCCTTATATTTTAAATCAAATAAAGTTTTTTAAAAATATCTTATATTATGATGTAGAGGGAGTAAATAAAAAAAAAAACAAAAGAAAGAAAATAGAGAGATGAAGATGGATCGTGGATATATTAACTTTGCCATTAATTCACCCCCTCTAGTAGTGATCTCTAACCACTTCTCTATAACTAATAAAATATTTGTTTTTTTCACTTTTACCTTTATGTAGAGAAACACCACATCACACTTTAAGTTAAACCATCTAGCAAATTGTAATTGGGTAACATCTGAAAAAAATGATTTATAGCTCGCCAAAGTGATTATATATAAGATTATTAATTTCTTCTAAAAAATCACTACTACAAAAAAAAAAGTTACATATGATAGTTATTTTTGGCTACATTTAGTAATCTTTAACTGTTATATATTCTAGCAATAAATATTTTTTGAATTAATATATAGCGACTTTTAACTGCTATATTTTGTTTATTTTTAAATAACTATTATATATGAACATTTTTTCGGCTATATAGTTGCGAACTATATAGGCAATATAGTTGCTAATTATATAGAGTTATTTTAAATAATTGCTATATATGAGCATTCTTTTTAAAAATGAAGCTCTTCCATTATATTTTATATTTTATTGTTTCCTCTTAAATTCTTGAGCAAGTGAAAAAATGGAAGGAAAAAAACACAAAGATTTGAGTTGTAGAGACAATATCTATATCGGAAATTAACAACAATTGATGATAATGTTTTCTATTTAACAATTTGAATGCAAAATAAAAAACAAAAACTAGAGATATGGAAAATCGAAGAAGTATCCTCATGAAAAAGACAAACCCAAACTAGAACCATAAAGATATGAAAAACCACATATCTAAAATTAAAAACTACAAATTGTGATTACAAATATGGAACACTAGCCTTTCATTTAATAATATACCAGGGATGACAATGAGATAGAGTCGAGGGAGAGTGGCACTGATGAGATTAGGTACCACACAAACTAGACAATGGTGCATGACACATGCATACACATAAAATGGAGGAGAAGGGACATATGTCATGCTGGAGATTATGGCCGAAGTTGATCACGTGATTGCTAAAGATGAAGACTCAAAGTCTGGAGTGAGAAAGATGCTTAAGTAATAGAGAGGGTTGAGTGTGAAGTAGAGGAGTGAGGTTGCATATGAGAGAGGGAAAGGGAGGGAGGGAGAGGTTGAGTGTCATGAAAGTGAAGTGTGAGGGATGGATTTAAATGTGGGAAATGACAATGAGAGATAAAAAGAGTATGTGTGCCATTTAGATCAGAAAAAAAAAAATCAATGGTTTAGAGATAATGACATCATCAATCAATGTGTTATATAAAATGTGTGTGTTTTAAAAGTTTTTAGAGTCAAAAACTATATAGTCAGTGACTAAATAATGATTATTTAGAAAGAACGGCTATATAGCCTTTAAAAAAAATAAAAAAAATATTTTATATAATGAATCTTTAAAATAATTGTTGTTTAATTTCTAGACTATATAGTAGTTATTTTAAAAAAACTGCTACATAATCTCTAGAAAAAAATTTAAAAATAAGACTATAAAACAACCGCCATATAATTTCAAGACTATATAACGGTTATTTAGAAATAATTGATATGTAATCGTTAGAATTTTTTTTTAAAAAAAAGACTGACTATAAAATGATTCTTTGCAATAACTGCTATATAGTTTCAAGACTATACAGTAGTTATGTTGAGTAACCGGTATATAGTCTTTGTTTTTGAATCCCGCGTGTCTCAACTATATAATAGTTTCTTTCAGTAACCTCTATATAGAATGTGAACCTTATTTTTAGTAGTGAACTAGGGAAAATTTCAATGAAGGCTCCTTGATTCAACTTAATTTCAGTCAAAGCTTCTAAATTCTAAAATTTCACTACATATGTGAGGAATTAAAATGAAATTGAAGAGCTAAGTGAAATGACTTCATTGTCCTTGGTAAAATTAGGCGCATGAGCAACTTGTATGGGGAAAAGTAACAACTGATGTATGGAAAATGAACAACTGCTATATGTGAAATTTGCAACTCTTATTAATATCATAACACTACTATAAATTTGCAACTTTCATTTCACCTATGTCAGTTATTCATTTTTTATATATTAGTTATTTTTTTTACATGAGTTGTTTATGTGCTTAACTTTATTTGTTAGTGAGAGTTGCAAATTTTATCTATGTCACTTGTTCATTTTTCATATATCAGTTGTTAAATTTTTTATAGGGGTTGTTCATTGCATAGCTTTATTAGGGACAATAAGACTATTTCAATTAGTTCTTTAATGTTATTTTAATCCCCCCATATGCAGTGAAATTTTAAAATTTGAGGGCTTTGATTAAAATTAAGTTTGGTCAAAAGTCCCAATTGAATTTTTCCCAAAAAACTATTGTTCACAAGATGCCGCGGGAATAAATTTTTTATTCTGACATTATTTTTTGAAAAAATTAATCTTTTAATCCTTCAACTTCTAACTCACTTGTAACTTAGTCCCTCAACTATGACTCATTGTGACTCAGTCTTTCAATTATAACTCGCTGCGATTTAGTCCCTCAACTTTTGATTCACCTATGACTCAATCCTTATTTTTTAATTTTTTTTAAAAATTTCTTATCAAATAAGAGAGATAAAAAAATGCTCATATATTATTTTAAAATACCCTCCTCTTGCTCATTGATGTGAGATATAAGCTAACATGAAAAAAATTAATAAAAGTTAAGGGACTAATATGTAAGTGATTCAAAAGTTGAGGGATTGAGTCATAGACGAGTCATAGTTGAGGGATTGAGTTACAGCGAGTCATAGTTGAGAGACTGAGTTACAAGTGACTTAAAAATTGAAGGACTAAAAGATTAATTTTTTCTTATTTTTTTATTCCTGACAACATGATCCAAGCACACCAAAATTGACCCTAAAGCATAAAACGGCTGATAAGAAAATCAACCAAATCATAAAATAATATTTTTTATAAATAATAAACAAATCATTATCATTTTTAACTATTTATTATAATAATTTAATCGGCAATGATAATTTTTAGGTATTAGTAATATATTATTATAAAGACAAAGTGAAAAAAATATAAACATAATATTACAAATCAAATCAATCATTAAAAATGGCTAAGACACTCGTTTAAAAGCTAATAATTCGAGTATGATGAAATTGCACACAAAAATGTAAAATGGCAAGTGTAAGAGGGGGAAAAAGGACAAAAGAGCAAATTGTCCCCTGAAGTATATGTCTAGGAGATTTTGTAACTCTATTCTTATTTTTGGTATAATGTTCCTTTTTAACTTTTAAAAACGATGTAATTCAATTCCTATCATTAACAAATTTAACTGTGTCACCAAAAAATAACATAAATGGACTTTAAAAATTATAGAAAAGAATCAAAATATTAAAGGATCTAAAAATTATAGACATGGACATAAAAAATTATAGAAAAACTTGGTCTTTTTTTTAATTTTTAAAGTCTTTGTCTGTTATTTTTTTGGTCAACTAACGATCATAGTTAACTTTTTTTTAATAATAGGAGTTAGATTGCACAATTTTCAAATTGAAGGGAAAGATTATATTGAATCAAAAATGAGTTTAAGGTTTCAAATATTTTTGGACCTATAATTTAATGACTAATTTGCTCTTTTAAAAAAAATGCAATATAATGGTGTGTCAAGATTATTCCTATGAAGAATCATTCACAATAGTGTATTAGGGAAAATCACAAATAAGGACTTCCGAATATCACAAATAATCAATTAACACCATGAAATTATGAACTTGAATTTTAGGACCATAGTCCTTTTTGTCGTTTTAAAAATAATAATTTAACTAAAATGCCCCCATCTAGTGACCAAGTTTGCAAGTCTCAAAGTAAAAAATTTCTCAACCTGAAATAAAAGTGATTTCATAACATCCCTCAACTAAATTTCCAAACCCAATTAAAGTGATTTCATTACTATGAAATTTAAGTTACCCAATTGCAAGTTTGGAAGTAAAAACGTTTTTAACTCAAATAAAGTAATCTCATAACCCTCTTTAACTAAATTTTCAACCCCATTAAAGTAATTTCGGCACTATTGAATTTTAAGTTGGCCAATTACAAGTTTGGGAGTAAAAATTTTTTCAACTCAAATAAAATTATTTCATAATTCTCTTTAACTAAATTTCCAACTAAATTAGAATAATTTCAGCACGAGCAAATTTTAAATTAACAAATTGCAAAGTCTAGGAGTAAAAATGTTTCCAACTCAATAAAGTGATTTCACAATTCACTTTAACTAAATTTTTAACCCAATTAAAGTAGTTGTAGCACTATCAAATTTTAAGTTAGCATTTTAGATATGGACATTTTAGTCAAAGTATATTTTTAAAACTACAAAAAAGGACAATGGTCCTAAAATCTAATTTCATACTTTTGTAGTATTGACTGTTATTTGCAATATTCTAAAATCCTTATTTGTGTTTTTCACTTTATAATATAAAAAAAAAAGCAATGAATAAGAAATAGTCAAGGATTCACTCATCTTGTAGTGACCCAGAATTTAATTGATTTTAAAATTTATAATAAGGTATTTTAAATATATTTTTATTAATTTTGTAACAAATATGATAAGGAAGATGGTGCTAGCTTAGTGGAAACTTGCTTGGTGGCTACCCTTTAGTTTTGGGTTCGAATTCTCAAGGAACAGTTGGGTTTTATTTTTGTCTTAACTTATGTAAAATTACAAAAACGCCCTCTACTTAACCATCAGATATTTTTCATCTCTCTTCTCTTTCAATTAGTCTCGCATTTTATCCAAGGGAGAGGCAGAGAATATATTTCGAGAAGCTTCAAGTCTGGTTCACCATCTTCTTTTGTCTGCTGTCATCAATATCGAAGTGGGTGTGTTGGTGGTTACTGTTTGTTCCCTCTGTCCAACGTCGATCCTCATCTTCCCTCTGTCCATCGCGTCTCCTCATCTGTTGTTCGTCTGCTGTGATAGTTGCTGTAAGATCTCCTACGAGCAGCAACGTTGCCCTGTTCCTGGATGGTCTGGTGACGTCGCCGTTTTGGTGGCCATGGGATGCTCCACTCTTTCCTTTTCTTCTCATGCTTCACGCAATTTCTTCTCCTTCCTGCTCGCTCTCCATCTCTGTTTGTCTTCCTCGGTAGCTGCTTTATCTTCAGTGTTCACGTTCGGGTTACGGATGGGTGAGAAATACAGTTGCCGGAGCCATTGGCAGTGCTGTCACGAGCTTCGACTGGTGCTGTTGATCCGGTTTCTTTCCTTTATTGGAAGTTGCATTCAGTTTTGCCTCTCCCCTGCTCAACCATCTAAATCATCTCCTTCTCATTGCTCTGTGCCATGGAGATCTAAGGTCAAGCACTTCAAATCTTTCTCATTTCTTTTTCTTTTTCTTGTGCTGAATCTCTATTCATGTTAGTAGTGACAATAGTTTTTGATTCCCTTTTCTTGTTCAGTTGTTGGCTGTACCGTTGAAGATGATTTTATTTTATTTTCTTGAGTTAAATTCATTTCTTTATATTAGAGGAATGGAGATAGGGAGATTGATTGATTAAAATTACATATTGTAAAATTTTGGAGGTTAGAAAGGAAGAAGGAGTAGTTTGGTTGAGTTTAAAAAATTTACGCACAGAAGGTGCTTGACAAAATGATTATTAGGAAAGTGAAGCTGAAGAGGATGAGATTAGTATTAGCTATATAATTAATGCCCATGAGTGTTGGATGAAATGCCTACTAGGAGAACTTTAATGATTCTTCATTTTTGAAATTTCATTGATCCTGAATTTTAATAGGGATGTTGTCATTATGAAATTAATAATGTGATTATTTGAATTCTTGAAAATGGATAGTTTGTTGAAAAAAAAAATTTAATTGGATGCTAGAGTTTTTATGAATGGATTGGAAATGATGTATATTTGGTGGCTTGATAAAATATTAATGATGAAAAAAAAAGTGTAAGGCTTCAGTTCTAAAGTTTCAAATTTAGTAGAGTTTAATTTTGTTAAGGATGATGTTAAAAAGGAACTATTGTATTGTTTGAAGGTTTAATAAAAATCTTAATATGATATAGGGTATTTGAAAAATGAGTTTGATTGAAGTTGCAAGAGGTGAAATTTGATCTCTTGAAAATTTCAGGTAAGTGAATAGCGTCCCAACTAATTTATCAATTAATTTTTTTATTAAAATTTATTTTGTTACTTTGATTATTTTAATAATAATTATGTTGATTAGTGCATACTTTGTTAATTAAATTTCTTCATTTTTAAGTTTTAAGACAGTGGTGAAAAACGATTCATCATAGCATATGAATATTTTATCCCTTATAAGATATCCTTTCAGGATTAATGAAATTCCTTTTCATTAGCATTGACAATTTTTGATTATTCAATAAATGCAAGTATGAGCATTGGATATGAAATTTGATTCTGGCAAGTTTTAATGCTTAAAAGTATTCATGAGAGTTTGATTTTGAGAATGAGAATTGTATCTTGAAAGTGATAATTTTCTCGCATGCTTGAAAATTATTTTAAAAAGGGACTTTATACGAAACACTTGTTGCTAACGGCAGTTCCGTTAGCCCTTGGCGTGCTATGGTACACCTAGCTAGCAGGGTATTTATAGGAGGTGCTAGTCCTGTGCGATGGCCAACGCACGTGGAATGGAGGGGTGGTTATTCGTGAGCATCGTACTTACATTTGTTTTCGTGGCTTCAAGCCGCGTTTGGTTAGCATTACCTCGTGCACTGTGTGTTCACATTTGTTTTGTGGCTTCGGCTGTGTTTAGTTACTTACCTTCGTGGACTGTGTGTGTCCACGTTTGTCTGCGTGGCACAAGTCGCGTTTGGTTATTTACCCTCATGGACTGTGTGTCCACGTTTGTTAATTGTTTTGATAAGTCCCTATAATTATAAATCCAATCATTTGATGATTTTATATACCATTGGGTTTTGTTTAGTAATTTGTTTATAAATATTTATTTTATTTATATGCTTCCTTGAAATCAAGTGATGTTATCATTTGCTGTGATAGTTCAATGATTTGAGATTTTATTTGAAATTTTATAGAGTCATTTTATTATGAAGTTTATTAAAATTTAAAAAAAATTTGTTATCTATTTAACTTACATAATTATTTCAAACTTTTCATTTTATTTATATTCTATTGTTTATTGTTGGGACGTTAATCACTGAAAAATTATTTTTGTCTCAGATGCCTTAGTTGACGTTGATCTTGCTATCGACCTTGAGTACTTATAGACAGGTGGAGGATTGATTGAAATTTTTCTTTTGATATAATTATTAATGTTTATGTATCTTATTTTTATTTTATTTTTGAAAAGTACAGTTAGGTACTCCACATAAGCTATAATTAGGACTTTTATTTTTATATATATGCTGCCTGTCGACTGGAAGGAGCTAAGCTCCTGATTTATTTGACATTTTGACTGTATCAATGTATTGTAACAATTTTGGGAGATCACATTTACAAGGGGAGGTTTTGTCAAAATTTCTACGAACATGTTGAAAACTGGTTATAATTATTAGTGTCAAAAGTGTTATAATTTCAAAATAAATCTGATTTCATTTTAAAAATAGAATGAACTTATGATTTAAGGCTTACGGGGAGGTGTGAAACGGTTCACCTCTCGTGCCGGTCATTCTCCAATTTTTGGAGCGTGACACATCTTATGTACAACATCTCCCTCCTTGGTGAGCAAAATAAAATGAAGGGTTAAAATGCTATTTTGCCATTCAACTTTTTTTTTTAGGTGTGATAAGTACTCTCAAGTCAATGGTGGTACAATGATCCCCCTCATGTATTAAAAAAAAAAAGGAACCCGCTCTATTAAATATCCATTAACTTAAACGGTAGTTGACCTAAAATAGTTACACAAAAGGACCTAGAAAAGTATAGAAAAGAATCTAGAAAATTACAAAAAATGACTAATAAAAGAATTAATACTGATGATGTCTCTTAAATTACAAATAGATTTCACTAGATTAATGTTTTTTCTTACTTATATAAAAGACCAAAATTTCATTTTGATTAGCCACTAGGTACCAAAACACAAATAAATAATTATAAATATTAATTTTTAAAGGGAGAATGACAAATGAGAACCTCATAAGAACATTAATGTTAAGTTAAGATCTCTTCACAACTAAAGTTCTCTAATTTTGTACTCCTTCTTTCATGTTTTATAGTAAAATCTTTAAAAAATCTTGATTCGGCATTAATCTTCTTATCAGGTCCTTACTTGTCATTGTTCCTTTTTTAAATAACATCTCATTAAATATTAATATATTCTAAATAACATATTTTTTGATCACAATACTTTGGTAGTCCTATTTATATAACACTTTTGACATGTTTCACTGAAACCAAAGAAAAGCTTGAAACTCGTTAGCTTTATTTTAAAATTGGGTTAAGGTATAAATCTAACATTAAAGTTTCACGCAGGCACATTTGGTATTGTCACATTTTTATTGACACAATATCATCCCAACATTTTTCAATTATGTAAAATATCACCCTAATTGTTAGTTGAGCACTCATTGGTTGTTAAATGAATTAGTGAACTAGTACTATACATACATACATACATAATTTCTTCCTTTGATAACCCTCTTCAATCTCTAATTACAAGAACATTTATTACACAAACCAAACACTAGGATTTTGTGATTAAAACCCAATTAAAAGCACTGAATCTAAATCCAAGTTCTTGAATTGATGTTCAATATTAAGTCTTATAACATAAAAAAAGATATATAGAGCAACACTCTATCATCACTGTATTCAACAGTTTATTTTGAACAATTTATTTTCATATATAGTTAGGTTTAGAGTTAATGCTTAATCAAGCCATGGTTGCTTAGTTATTTAGGATAATGATGGAGGTTGTTGCAATATCCCAACCTCAAATCTATATTTGAAAAGACATATGCTCTAGTCAATTAATCCAATATATCATCAATCCTTAATAAGGGATATTTGTCTTTCATTGTCACTTTGTTCAGTTATTGATAATCAATATAGAGCCTTAAGCTGCCACCTTTCTACATGACAAATAGCATTAGTGACCCCTGTAACATCCTAGATTTCAATATGGGCATTTTGAGTGTTTATAAGGATAAAATAGTAATTTTCAAGCAAATTTTAAATTTATGACGTTTTTGGGAGACTAATGTACTTAATGGATCCTTGGACAACCTTAGAAGAGAGCTAGGTCGATATTCAAGTGAGCCATAGCATGGAGAGAGAGACCCAAAACATGTGGGACTTTGTGTCATGTACCACAGCACATGTACAAAATTAACATTTATCAAACTCGCGAATCAGACAGAAAATCAAAAGTGGGATAAGAGAAATCGCGAGGAGGCAATGGGGAACGATCGGTGGCTGCTAGGGCACGACCCCTGGACCAGTTTGGAAGCAATTGGAATGAGATTTATCCTTGGGTAAGCTTCTTACACCTCTTCCTCTCCCTTTATGTGAATTTTTATGATTGTGGGGAAATGTAGGCTTTACTTTCGATTTCCTTATGTTATAACCAAACCCATTAGCTTAGTTAAGTCTTGGGAAGTTAAATCAAGCTTCTAACCCTAGGTTTATAGGCTTTATGATGATTTGAAATTTTTGACTAGGGTTTGAACGAACACTATGTGAGAATTTAATGTTTTGGGATAATGTAGGTACATGATTGATGATATTGGTGTGTTTGGATGTTAAATAGGATTGTTGGAGTGTGTTGGAAGGATTGTTATTTTAAATAAGGATTTTGGATGTAACAAGTACTAGAAATCTAGTGATTTAAGAGTGTAATTAGAATGATAATTGATAATATCACTTAATTGTGTAGATTAAGTGTTGCTCAAGTGTGGTTGTGCATGTGGAGCAAATGTTAGACCATGGTAACCCTTTTGTGACAAAAAGGTTGAGGTAATGGAATAATTTATAATATTTGATTATAGTGCTTAACTATATGTGAGTAGATATATAAATTTTCTACCAGTGATTTGAAAACATTGCATATTGCAGAATGAGATTTTTATGCATTTGAAATGACTTCTAAACGATGAAAATTAGAAAGCCTCTTATGTAAGTTACATGTGAATTTGATACAAACTTGTGTTATGTATGAGATGTGTGAGCATGATCATAATAGGGGGTAGGAGTTTACCCATAGGAAGGAGAGTGAAAGTCTATATGGCATGTATATCCTTAGTGTCTAATAAGGTATGGTATTGGAGAATATCTTCGTAGTATCCAATATAAATGCGAGGTGAATTTGGCCAATTAAAAAATTGAAAAGTTTTGTAGTAATAATAAAAGTGATAAAGGAATGAAATCATTAATCACGAGAGTTAGAAGAGCAGAGCTTGACATAAGTGATTTATCCTGGTTTGACTCTTACCACTTGAGTCTAAGTCTAGTCCTCAGGAACCTCTTGAGATTTCTAACTATATTATCAAGATTTATTTGGGCTCTTGGTTGCCTCAGTACATCAATAGACTTCACAATAAGTCTAAAACTCTCTCCCTTACAAAGGTAATAATAAATTCCCTTAAGCTCCCCGAGCTTAAGTTCCTTTATTTTGAAGATGTAAAATAGGGATAAATAGAATAAGTTCAAGAGTGAACTACTACTGCTTTTAAACTTTCTCTAAGAGTAGATATATGATCAATGAAACTCTGAAACAATAAATGATATACAGAAGGTAGGTAAACTTTAATGTTCAAGTAATCACATAATTTTCTTATTGGCTTTCTTTTTTCGTTTCTCTTTCAAGTTTCATAAATGAGTCTATTTATTAAATGATCTATGAGACTCATAAATTTTTCCATTAAAGGTTTCTTGTGAATTGATTCCTTCTTTCCTTCGAGTTTCCTTAGATATTTGAGCTTATATGAGGTTTTTTGGTGGATGAGGCAATGGAACAATGCTTTACAGCAGATACTTCCTCTTTTGTACAATAACAGTTGAAAACATTAAATGCTTTTGATAAAGTGGATAAAGCTTATACATTTTGGTATAACAAAAGGCAAACTTAGTGAATCAAGGAAAGATAAGAAAACTGAATAACTTCAAGGAAATAATTGTCTAAATAACATTAAGTAAAGATTTAGAATGAACACATTTGATTCCAGATGAAAAAAAGATTGAAAGATTAGTTTTGGTGAGATTCAAAATTGACACGAAAAATAGAGCATGAAATGCAAGGTAGTACCAATGTTATAATGTCCCAACACCGGTGTTATTATGATGAATAGGCTTTGATGGACAAGCTTAGCACAGGTGTTGTTCTGTTAGTATTGGTGTAATCCATCATTGTAAAAGATGAAGATTTTGACAATTTTGAGTGAATGAGGATATTTTTGAATAGATAACTTAGCACTGGTGTTAGAGAAAGTAACACTGAAGTAATACGATTAATCAAACATCATTGCAGGAGAATAGAACAAGATTGTATCAAGCACATAGATTATAGTTAAGTCAAATACTTAACTAACAAAGAGATATTTGGACATAAGAAATTTTGTTACATGAATAAGCTCACGCTTAGTTAATGTTTTAACCTAATTAATCTCTGATTAAGATTAAATATCCTATAATGCACAAACTTTTCTTTATTTTGTAATCATCAAAACTAAGGTTAAACATCCAAGTAAGATCCAGAATTGAAGATTGATGCTCCTTAGTATTAGTGATGTGGTGCTAGAGTAATAACACTTCGATTCTTGTGTGATAGGGGGAAACTATAGTTTGGAAATGGGATAAGACACCTTTAGCTAAGTGATCCTACTACTGAGGGTGAGCTCGAGCCATTGTGAATGTGCACTTGATCTAAGAACCTATGTTTTCAGTTGGGGTAATATAAAGGCTCAGATGGTAAAACGATCATGCTCAAATGGGAAATAATTTGTGTTTTATGGAAAAGATATGTTTGAATGTGCGAAATGCATGTTTTTGTGTATATTACTTTTACTCTCTTAGTGTAACTCTCCCTTATATCCTTTTAATAAAGGAAAGAATTAACAAAATCACAACCTCTACTCAAAATCAAACAGTAACCAAAATAGTTTTAAAAGCTTAGGCCCAAGACTTATTTTGCAAATCATTAAAATCTTAACATATCATAGCCATACACAGCGAAAAACAAACTGTTACATTCATATCAATCATTGCATAGTTTTAAAGAAAAGTATTAAATTCAAATTAGGGGCCATGCACCACGATGTGCAACACATGCACCGTGACATGTGATACAAAACTACACACCTTGACCTTCTCTATACCATAGACTGCAGTGCACAAGCCTGATCCTACTGCTATCATTTGACAGCACAAATGAAGAACTTTTAGCATGCACCATTTTCACATACGATGTCCGATCGGAGTGATTTAAGTGCCTACATGAAGCTTATGTCATAAGTTAACTGATAAGACATTTGGATATGATCCAGTGGTTTGATCAAAGTTTAGCTGGGTAAAAAAGGTCACTTTTTATAAATATTTAGCGCATCTAAGCATTCAACCCAATCAAATTGTCTCATTAGACCATTCTAGGAATTAAACCAAGTCCAAAAGGACCTAATATACCTAATTGATCACATTTTATATCTCACACACACACACACAAAAAAGACATTTTGGCCATTCAACTACCCATTTTCACAACAATTAATTTTTTACTACTTTACTCAAAACCATTCCTCTAGTCATTTTCACCATAATATCACAACAAGTTCACTTTATATTTGCCAAAAATACATTCACAACACATTCCAACTAAATCTTAGCCCTTGTTCATCATTTCACCATATAGTTACACATATAGGCTAAAATTTATAAAATCACTATGAATTTTCCACAAATCATAACTTTAACATGCATGCAATCTCTATGGCAACTTATATATATAACATATGCAAGAGTAACGTTCATTACACAAAACTCAAAGATTTTACATTCTCGACACTACTATATTGATCCTGACTCTATTCCCTTACCTTGATCGCTACTCTATCCTATAAAAATGTAACTATAGGGTGAGATAATAATCTCAGTAACTGAATAACTCTCTACTGTTGACTATCACATGCAACCATAAGCAAGTATAGCATAATATATAATTGAACATAATACATATCAGGTTTTACATTTCAAATTTCATTAATATATATATATATATATATATCATTTCACCACTTTTTAAAACTATTCACCACATTTTACCACTTTCCTAACATAGAGCATGATCACTACTGACTGAACCTCTAAATCACCCTGACTTGAAACCATAGGCTCGCCTCAAAATATACACTCTCATTAGCTTAAGGTCACCTTTAGCTAGAGAATCACTCGGCCAAAAGTGTTTTTTCTCACTTCTAGACTATGGTTTCCCCTAATACACATAACGGGGTGTCATTGACTTCAAAGTCATATCATATTGATACTAAGGAGTCTGAATCTCTAACACCATACCTCAATAGACACTAAGGAGATAATCTCCAACACTGCACCTCAATAGGTACTAAGAAGATACAATTCTCTAACACCACACCCCGTCGGGCACTAAGGAGAGGTCTTTCTCTATATCTCCACATAGGTGAACTCCTACCTCTATAATCATGCTTTCACTTTCACCACATGTATTATATATAGAATCATATATAAGTATGTAAATTTTCGTAACCACATATTTTCATAAAATCATTCCTTTAGAAATCCATTTCATGCAAAAGAACTCATTTGAAAAACATGTTTATTATAAATAATTTTCATGCATTACTATTCATACTTTCAAACAGTTACAATAGATAATCAAATAGAGAAAATTATTCAGTTACCTTAATCTTTCTATCATAAGAAAGGTTAGCTGTGGTACTTTCTCAATCACTAACTTGTCTCTGCCAAGTTCTCCTCCCATTCTACACTTGAAATATGCCAATCTACACACAATTGGCTCAATTAATCAATTGGCCCAATTGATCAAAAATACTTAGTTGCTAATTAGGGCTATGTCTAGTCGTCCATTACTTTCCTCTTAGTCCAACTAAGTTAATCATCACTCAATCACCACTTTACATCATTTCAAACAATCCTATTCCACCCACATATGATTTTCACCCCCAATTTCTCTTTAGGTTTAAAGCAAATAGAGCCCACAGCTTTAAAGATTTATCGTTCACCTCCAAACTAGTCATAAAGCTTTAGTTTTACTCTCGAGAACCTTTTTATTACTATAAGGTAAGAAACAAACCCCTTAAATTTCCTCGATTCAATTTGTCTATAATTTGTACTAAGAGAATTTATAGTAGAATTGAAGTTAAGGGTAATATGAAACTTACTCGATAAGTCACCAGTCAAAAAATACTTCCTTCCTCCCATAAATCCTTGCCCTAGTAGAGGGTGTCTTCCTCTTCTCTCCCTTTCATTCTTCCTTTCCTTTCCTTCT